CAGACGTGCACGGCACCAGCATCGCCCCATACCGCAACCTGGTCCGTGATGGGCACCACAGTATGAGCACCTGTGAAACACGAAGCAATCACCGCCTAGGGAATTACTGACAAACAGCAACGGTCCTATGAGTTCCTCTCTATGCCTGCTTTCAATAACCTGCAACAATTTAAGAAGGGCTTCTTTTCAAGAACTGCAGTATAGAATGCATAATGTCAAAAACCTTGAAAATTACATTAAGATATTTGATGCACAATGCATTACAGACCTGAAAAGAAACTCCCTGGTGACTATCCATAATTTGAGTTCTTTCATTTAGGTACAACAGAAACCCACTAWTTAATTGAATGTTGGACTATTTAAGAAAAAAAAAATACCAATTCTAACTGTATCAAAAATTTCTGTAAGAACAAAAATACTGGATGAGATTGAAATTGTCAAGATGTATCTATTCGCTATTACTTTCCCCAAAAGTATGCATCTTTCACATTTTAGAACAATAAACATTATGCTTTCTATTTTGAAAATGCTTCAGTATTTCACTGTATCATGTTTTAAAACAACAGTACATTTAGGAAAATAATGTTACAGAGATAAGACAATTTTCTGTAAGAATGTCAACTGTACCTGAATGGCCCATAAGAGGGGTATGGCTTCTGCAAAGAGATCTAGTAGAAGAGAGGGGTGTTTTYCTTACACATGTGCTATTCAAGCCCCGGGAAGAAGAACTCGTGAAGTTCAATGCACTAGCATCTTCTGCACAAGAACTTTTGTCTCCAAAATAAGACTCTGAGGAAAAGGCACAAGCAACACTCAGCTTTAGGGAACAGATACATTAAGTCGCATATTTTAACTGCAAAAAGACATCTGCACCTATTTTTTTATGAATGTAATACATGAAAATATCTCATGAAGTTTTTTTTTTCTTCGTAAAAGACCTGCAAGTGCTAAATTTTAGCATCTGTTAATTTTAGCATCTAGCTCTCTAAAATAGCACAAGCATAAAATAAAGAATTCTCTTGTTTTGAAAACCAGCCTGTATAAATAGGTCATTTTCCGTAATGGCACTGCTTGCAATGGCTATGAAAAGCCTCATTTAGGTTAAATAATAAGGCAGAAAACAGTTTACAGGGCATCATTTCATACTCTTATGAATTCCTCATCTATCAAAGAATGCTGTAGCCTCCATCTTGCATTTCTCCACCAGTGTTAAAATCCCCATCTGAAACAGTGCCGTGTCTTTACAAAAATTTCAAAGTTTAGAAAGCCTTCTTTCTTAAAATGCCGGGCACTGTTTTTTATAAAAAGTCCATAAAAAGAGAATAAGAGTTAGATTCAAAAGCTCCTCCACCGAGAATAATCTTCTGAATTCATGGAATYCGACTCACAAATATACCAGTAACTTGAAACATGTTTTTAACATGCAATTTCTTTTATATGTGCGTCTTAAAATTGACCTGTATCTTAAAATTCATCCAGATTTCCTTTTCTCCGACTGTTCTTTAGTTTCAACATATTGTTAAAGGTTTTTATTTATTTTTAGTTCACTTCATGAAAGCAAAACCAAGATCCTATTCTAATCTAATTTGGATAGCCACTTTTTAAAGACAATATGAATTAAAACACATAAAGCCTAAATGGAGCTTTTGCCATTAAAATTTACAAGATTTCTGGTATGAAAAGATCTGCCAAAGATCTGCAAAGCTAAATGTTTCCATTCTTTTTATTAAAAATCAATCTAAATGAGACAGTACTTTTGTATTCTTCTAGATGACTTCTAAATTGTATGGCATTTTACCATGTTAAATTACATGTACAAAATTATTTATACATAATTATTATGTATAATATTAGTTCAAAAATATTTTAATGTTAAAAAAAAAAACTTACAAAACACTGAGATACCTCTGAAAGAAACGGTATCAGTTCAGTGCTTATGTATTTTTAGCGTAGATCAAAACCAGAATCCCCACACAGAACTATTGCTTTTAGGTAGCATTCACTCGGTATTTGGCAGGAGTTTGGGTAACCTATGATCAGGAGTTTACAAGGAAAGCAGACAATACGGTTAGCAGGTTTTGTCATTTGTGTGCCCATGGCCAGCTTCAAGGAGCTCCCACAGACTGCAGACATTACTTCACAGAATCCTGCATAAAATGTGAGAAAAGGYAAAGACCAGAGGAAGAGTCACCTACCAATACTTCTATGTGCAAATACTAAGCTGATTTGCTTAGGATTCATGACTGGTCATGTACCTGTCACCCAAAAACATGGTATTCCTAATACATATATTGTGTGGTTGCTTTTACTTCAGTGTGTGTTTCAGAGAGTGATACAATATACTGCTCTTTTTATAGCTGTTCCACTGAGAAAACATTAAGAAGCACGGTTCCCTCCTGGCAGCCAAGATGGAGGCTAAGCCAGCAGGACCCGCACGCTGCCGGGGACATTCTGTTGCCGAGAAACGGAAAGCAGCAACACACGCAGGCACAGGTAGCGGCACCTCTGCCCACCTCCTCTTCCCGGTACCGGTGGCTTCATCYTGCTACCGGAGGGAACAAGGCCTCCCCTGTGGAAGCCACCCTGCACCAGCCCATCRCTGGAAAAGGCGCCCGCGCTGCCAGTCGTGCTGCGGGGGGTCTGCAGCAGCCCCAAGGTGTAGCGGGGCGCCTGTTCCGCGGACAGCCACGACGTGGAGGCGGCGGCGGCCGCGGGKACATCCATCCGTCCCGCCACCGCCCCCTCGCTTCCGCTCGACATGTCCGCGCGTCACCGGCCCTCGCCGCGGCCTCCGAAATGGCGACCCGCGCAGGCCCCGCCCCACAGGGGCTGGGAGCGCGGGAGGCGCGCGCGGGCCGTCCCGTCCCTGCCCCCAGCAGCGGGGCCGGCGGCTCCCGAGCCCAGCCTGGGGGAACGTCGGAGCCCCGCGCGCAGCTCCGGGCCGCCTGGGAGCCGGGCTGCTGCCTGCAACCCCACCCCGTGGCCTCCTCCCAAAGCACTGCCTGCGGTCTAGCACATCTAGCACCCACATAATAGAGAGCTAAGAGAGAAAGTTGCTGTTGGAGCTATTGCTGAAGGGAGAAGCACATGTGATGCCCAGCTCCTGTCAGTTCTTGACAGATGCGTATTATAAAAACACCTGTTAAATAAAAAAGGAGAAGGGTTTACACAGATGTGTACCTAGCGGACATACATTAAAACACATATAAATTATACAAATATAGATGGAGTAAAAGTGGCATACGAACACAAAGGAAAAGCATGCCCTCTTAAAGACAGGATCACATTTAAGCAACATTTAGCCCCTGTTCGTTCTTCATCCAACTCTGTATACATAGACCTTTTTAAGCAGGAATTTCACACAGAGCTAGAGACCAAGAAAACACAGTATAAATGTGTTAATGTAGAGCAGCTGCAAAAGTTTTGCTTATAAGCGCATATTAATATAACAGTTGGACTTTCAATTAAGCAACAAAACATTTTTGGCCTTAGTCCCCACKTAAGAGCCAAACGAGAAGGCCAAGACCATGCAGAGGGAGCAGTGGTTCAGCGGAYGCTCCCTCCCCGCCAGGCTCCACAGGGAGCATGGTCAGTGCTGCTCGTGCCCTGGGGGGACGCCTGAAGGCTTCACCCTAGGCTCCCGCTTCAGGACACAGCCAACATGCCTCAGAACCGCGGAGTATCTGTCACCTGTAACATTAAAAACTTCCAACAGTTCAAATTATTCAGTTTCACAGGGGAGCAAAGGATGGAGGGAGGAGAGCTGGTGCCAACTCCGACCCGTGCCACTGCTGGTGCCTTCAYTGAAATTCCCATCTGCATGTGTATGCCTGAAGCGGACATTGTAACTTCTCTTCCCAGGAGAAAACTGTAAGGCAAGAAAGGCAGAAAGAAAAGGAATGCTTCTCCCCCTCTTTCTTCCCTTTTCATGTGTCACAAATAAATATTAAAACATTTCCCCAAGCAGGTTGTCTCAACACAGCTGCTAGGTGTGTCTCCAGAGCAAAACAGTAAAGCGCAGGACCCCAGACCTCACCATCTTCTTGGAACATGGTTAAAATGCGTTACTCCTCCCATCCCAAATTCCTTTTATTAATTATATCTATATACACAATAATTTAAAAATTATTCATTATTCTTTTGCAAATCACACAGCATTCTGCAGAATTTAACTGAGATCAGTAGCTATACTACAGTGCTTAGAGCCTATGTACTAAGATGTCAGATATTTCTGTGAAAAGCTTGACACGTAAAAATAAAGTTGTAGAAACAAATTCATGAAAATCTTTAAGAAAGGACCTTTAAGTGGAGACCTAGAATAAAAGATTAACCACTGCAATTATTTTTAGTATGTACACTAAGAACCTTACCAAGAAACACATTTAACAAAAGAGGTAGATGAAAGCAATGCATTTTGCCCCAAAAAATGAACTAATTCTTTTAACATCTGTATATCGATTGTCATTTTTTCCCGCAGTATATTTATTAAAGATGATCTGTGTAAAAAAAAACACATACAAAAGAACATTGAGAAAAAAAGTGTTAAAAATTTAAACAATTTTTAAAGCTACTAGTTTACATATCCCTCCCTCTCTTCTATTGACTAGTGATCTTATAAAAAAAATTTTTAACAATCACAGCTGATCTAGGAAAAATGACCAAATTACCTAGAGAGAAAAACTCCAGTAATATTAGCAGGCTTTTAACCTACAGTTCTATGCTGTCATACATCGTCATTCACATATTAATTCCCAGGATGTCTTCATCTAGAATAGATATTCAAGAGAATTTTATGTCCATATAGAAAGAAGGGAACAAAGACTGTATATAGGTATACAGAACTTTAGCAGTGCTCTCTTTCTCTCCACTCAGCATAAAGACTAGCAAAGACTATTTTTAAATCCTGAAAAAGAAATTACTTCTGCCAGGCCTGATGAAGCAACTTATCAGGAACATGGACAGTTAACATTAGTTTTCTGATCCCACCAGAAAGCCTTTAAAAGTCTTCAGAGAAATTAAGGGTTGCCTTTTCTGTTTTTGTTGTTTTAAAAAGGGGGAGGATGTTTAAGCATTTAAATATGCACTCTCTTTGAAACTTGCTGTAAGTCCACCGAAAAGTTACATTGCCCAGTTCTATCCTCTCTTCTAGTAGCATGAATCAGTTGAGTAAAAAATGACCAGTCTGCTTTTAAAACTGTTTTTGAAACCACTACAGACCTTCTTTAAGTATAAATACCAAGATTATCAGATATCTCTATCATTCGTTTTGACTGTGTATTTCAACTGGAATACATTTTAGCCTTCTGTCTAAAATGAGTGGAATATAAAATCAGAGGCACTTTTAGAGCTCTAATGAAGAGAAAGAGGACTTAATCCTCCAGAAGATAAGATTTTTCCATTACTAGTTTTATTCTCAAATTATATAATAATGAAATGTTGGCAATTCGTCTCTTAGAAGCTACAGGAGTAAGTTTTCAACCCAGCAACAAACTGAAAATCAACATTGTATTCAGCAATAAATCACTGTTCCATAGAGAAAGATCTCTAGAATGCATAGTGTTAACAAGTTTCAATATATATATATATATTCAAGGTACGTTCTAATTCAGGTATCAGTGATACTTTATCAATAAATAATAATTTGTATACTTAATTGAAACCACAAATTGTTTTGACCGTTATCAGTTACTAGAAGAAAAAGCTTGCATCCTATAAAAGTGATGGCAAACACAAACAGAAAGAATTAAATACACAGAATACACAGCCATGTGACATTAAATGCAGTGGCTTAAGCAGGATTTTTTCATATTCTTTTAAAGTGCTTTGTGTGATCCATCATCAAGAGATGCTTATAGACAGATGCTACCATGGTTAATATCACAGGAACACAGAAATTAAGACATTCATACTATCACTGCGACTTAGTTGAATACTCAAAAAATTCCAGAGGTCCATACATTTAGATACTGAAAAGGATTCTACATCTTTTATATAAAACCTAAGAACGTCACACTGAGATTACCAGAACAAGCCTGTTCTGTCACAATTTACAAAGTGACAAAGCCCACAGTAAAGCAGTCGCTTTACCATAGAAATGTAAACATATCCAAAAGAAAAATATGCTAACAGTTTCAGAGGTGATGTCCAATGGCTGAAACCGAAGTGACCAAGCATATCAATCTTGTGTCTCTACAAGACTTAGCTCACAAGCTCAGGCTGTACATTTATTCTTTGAAGGACATCTTCTGGCATACAGAAGACAGGATTGACGGCTTTAATTTGTTCTTCCCCTAATAAAGAGAGTCCAGCAATTCCAAATAAGGTGTGGAATGGATCCACCTGTTAAAAGAAGAATTTTTTTTTAATATCCATTTCCAAAAGTCAAGGAGCTCTTTATTTGTAGGTAGTGAAGCTCTTATCTGCTAACAAGAGACTTAGGAGTCCCCATGACTTATGTTCTGGAAGACACTGCAACTGAACAAACTTTCAGTGATCTTGACTGTCACACATGTAAGTTAAAAGCTTAATTTCTACTACATGCATTTACAATACCATAATTTGCTCAGAGATGATTGTATATTATTTGCTGCTAAGATGACTTTAAGCTCTGAATTCAGCAAGAAGCACTCATGTCTCCTTTCAGCAGTAGCAAAGATAGCAAAAATTGCAGAGACCAATTTGAACATTAGGAAGTACTACTTCCATAAATTCCCCATTGGCTCTTCAGCAACAACATATTGCTCTTTAAAGGTCTCTCAATAGAACTGTACTGTCAGATCTTAAGGAATGAACAACAACCTCTTCTCATATAAAACTGGAAGGAAAAAAAATAGGGAAACATTTAACAAAGGAGACAGTAGCAGTTTTTCGGTATCTAAGTTTTCGTTCACTGTATAAACTTTTCTGCAAAGCAGCTATCAATTATATAACCACAACAGATTATATAAAGTCTCATTATTTAAACCTCATTTTAGCAGAGTAAACAGACCACTCTGCAACTTCTTATTTAAAGTTACATGTACCATTTGGGCAGTTCTGCAGTAACACCCTGTTTACATTACTGAACTCACAGATCTCCCCTCAAAGCTTTTTATATCGCATTAAACTGTGCTGAATCACCATATTATAGTCACATACAGGAGCATGATTAGTGACCAAGGAATTAACTAACATAACATCCCGCTACTCTGATTTTGCAGCACGTTACATGTACAGCTAAAGCACACACATTTCTCAAAAACAGTAAGAAGAGACTAGGAGATGGGAAGGAGGAGGAGGGAGAGAGAGGACTGGGCACAAAATACACTGTTGGAACTATAAAATATTTCCTTGTTCAGACAAGCAGGCCTGGAAAGGACTAGCAATTGAATTCCTAGAAGTATCTACAGCTGTGTCATCCCCTGCTCCTTTCTGTGGCACTTGCTGAAAATTAGGTAACAAAACAAAAAACCTGCCATACACAAGGAAAACAAAAAGGAACAAAAGAAAACACTCCTTCAAAGAAAGAAAAACAAAACAGAAGAAACAAACAAAAACTATACACACTGATGAATTACAAGTAGGAGCTAATAGGCAGAAGGTTAAGGGACTTGAGGGAAAAAAGTTGTAAAAGTTGTCAGAATCTGAAATATACCTCATGTGAGATCAAAAAAAAAATCTAATAACAATAAAGAGCTTATTGGGAATGAGCTTCTGCAGAAGAAAACAAGAATCTAAGCCTCAATGATTTGATGGCAGTGCCCAATCCAACAACAGATACACTCAGTAAAATTAATATGAAATATCTACTAAAATTCAATGCAAAACACTCACATATGTCTGCATTAGATACAAAGGAAAGGCTTTGCCAAGTTACTTTTCTCCCAGGACAAAAATAATCCATACGTGATCTCAAAGGCATACCAGCATTAAAACTGTGTTAATGCTTTGCTTTAAACACAAAGCGCATTTCCAAGCAGACCAGAGTCAAGAGATTTCCCTACTGTTCCCCTAGTGGAAAGAACGCATCAGCTCACCAAGAAATAAAGAGCTTGTTCAGTCGTGAATGCATTTGTGGGGAAGGGAAAAAAAGAAGAGACGCAGACTTGTAATAAATAAATAAGACCTCCCCAGCCTTTGGCGCATAAGCAGCCATATATTCTACAGGAATTTACTGAGGTCTCACAATATGTCTAATTTAATCTCATCAGCACCCCTGAAAGATGATCGTTGTCTGCCATTTTATCTGGGCAATCACAATTGTTTCTGGAACCTACGAGAACAGAACAGTCAGCCGTAACTGTTCTCCAAACAGAGAATAACTCGCACCACCGGCCTTTCCATAACGCGCAGGAGTGCAGGGATTCTTACAGCTACTCATGACTAATTTAGATCAGGCAAAAGCACTGGGATAGTTAAACTGCTTAGTCTGCAGTGGTTTCTAGGAGTTTGCATATGTTTAAAAAGAAGAAAAGATGCTTAAGCATCTTGAGGCAAATAATTCACGTGGCATGCATAGTTATGGACAGCAAAACAGTTTGCAAGGAAAAACAAGCAGGTTAGACGTGAGATACAGTGGCCTAAATCCAATATGTAAAATGTCATATGCTCTCCAAGTAAACAAGCKTTTCAGGCACCTCTACCCTATTCTTTCCCAAATTCAACGGCTGACTTTCCAGCTCTGCAAAAATTCTAACATCAGATTCACAAGTTACACTCAAATGAGAACCATCATTGAAAAATTCAACTTTAGTTAGGGATTATTTACCATATCTCCTGGTCTATCAGCAAATCCTCCAGTCTCCTCATCCTGGCAAGCCAAAATAAAGCAGCGCAATTTCTCTCTGTCGATCCAGTGTAATCTACCGATCATTTTCAGAGATGCCAGGACCCACCACGAATAACATACATCTGGTAACTGGTAAACAGAGAAACAGAATATTGTATTTTAAATAGGATGCTGCAAATTTTATTAGCATTTCTGCAAACTACTAGCTGTGCTATCATAATAATGTTGCAGAGAAACAACTTCTAGTATAAGAAAGTTCCTCTACGCAGTCTCTTTTTAGATGACTCTTTCTTTGCTCAGCAAGAAACAGAAATATAAGAGCCTGATCTTGAGAACAACTTTCACTTTCTGTGGAAGAGACTAAAAATCCACAACACCATTTTCAAGACTAAGGACAAAGACTTTCTGACCAGTTTGAAGAACCAAGAAAAGGTCTGAATTCTGTGAATGTTCTATGAATACTTCACAAGCTTTTTAATGTAATTCTGTTTTTTCCACAAATTCTTCAACTTCAGAAAAAGATATACACAGAGAAAGAGCACACACTCCGGAAAAAAAAAAAAAAAAAAAAAAGCCACAAAATACCTTCTCAGGTCGTCCATTGAGGCCTCCAGAAGGTAACTGTCGTTCACAAAGCCACCAGCCCAGCAAGTCAACATTTATTTGATGTAACTGGTCTGTTATAGCCAGAAATCCTGTGCAACAATAGATCTAAAATTACAGACATAAATTTTTTGTGTATTTAAAGGCTAAATACAGTTTAACAAACTAAGTGCAGGAGACTGTCAAATGAGAAAAGCATACAAATGCAAATACAAAACAAATGCACATTTCAGCTGCAAACTGCGTTCTACTTTTCATTAAGAAAAGTCTATTTGCCTTACAGTTATTTTTCTAAAAGTGTCAGTTACACATGTAATTATGGAACAGTAACATCCTATGAGTGTGAAATTTGAGAAYAGTCCTAGAAGACCAGATAGAGTATTTTTCTTTAAAAAAAAAAAATAAAAGCACACGGAGGCTCTCCAGCCAGAGTACTCAACCTCCTTCCTGCAGACTGGATATTTTATTAACATTCCTTGCAATTCCAAGTGCGTCTACTGTCACGTTGGTCTTTCTTTCATCGTGGCCACGTGGCCATTCACTAATAAATCCCTTTCTACTTTTCCTGAAAAATAAGGTTTCCAGTGCAGCAGCATTTTGGGCTCACATTTCAGCTATTCAGCAGCTTACTCTGTCCTCAACAAAGTAGCCAGAAACAAATGGCAAGAAATCATATTAGCAACTGAGGCCTCCTCAAAAAGACATTTTTTTTCCKGATAGAACAGGAATGTGCTGACTCAAGAACACTGCAAAATAAAAGATGTTCCTGGAAAACTTGAGAGCTACAAGAGTTAACAGTTGTCTCTTTACAGTTCTTCAAACCATTCACACAATAGATCTGGCGGTCCCAGGGAACAGCAACTGCAGTGGGTTCAGCTACTAAATCTGACTTACTTGGATATCAGAACATGGTCCAGCCATTTATAGCACATAGGGAACATTAGTGTAGATAGAAATTTTAAGATAAAGAACAAACGAGCCTTACAATTTTTTTTCCTCCTGAATAAAAGGAATAAATGAGAGAAAAAAAAAAAGTATTCCTCAATAAAATAATTGCTCRTTTAATGGGCTCAGATGAGTCCTGGCTATGACGCTGCTCAGGAKAAGCATTAAAACATTGTGTTAAAGTTGCTCTCTATTCAAAGAATAAAGTTAAGTGCAATAGTCCTTTCCATGTTAAAAAAAGAAAAAAAAAGGGGGGGGGAATGCTGATTAAATATATATTTATATTTTCTACTGGAAGTAATAACCAAGAGCCTCTATCTTCAGAGCTCCCTTAATTGTTCCAGTTGTCTGTATTGTCTTTTTCAGGTAAATTTTATTGACTTTTTTTCATTAGCTGTCACCACGATACTCCTTAACAACTACAACAAAGCCTTAGAGGCTCCCACACCTGAGCTACCCATTTCATCCTAAGGCTTTCCTCAATGAACTGAGCCATCCCCACAATTCATGAGATTCTATGCTTCAGTGTCAAATATATTGTCCAAATAACTTCCATATTTTAGAGATTTCATCAGCATCTGTGCACACATTTTTTTTTTCAGCTCTAAGCTCATGAGTACAAGGGAACATAAATGGACAAGTTCAGTCACTTTATGGCAATTTCTTCATTAGTAACCATTTCAAAACTCTAAGTATCTTCATCCTATTCTGACATTGCTATCTGAAGATTATTCAAATGACATTTGCAGTGTGAAATAGTCCTATAGGTTTTTCCTTTAGGATTTGCCCCCACCCAAGACTCTAATCTCCTATGCCTTTCCCAGACTCTTCACACCTATCTACTTATTCTACTTACTCCTTTATTTTAACTAAGGGACCGGAACTGGGCATMTGGGAAGCAAGAAAGGTACCTTAGTGGGCATCACTGAAATATGTTGGAAACATTCATCGGCTGCATGTGATATTTAATAATTTAAAAAATCTCCATATAAAGAAAGACTCACCTGTCCTGCATGTGATTCAGAACCCGGCCTACAACCAAATCCTCCATCAAAGTTCATACAGGACAAAACAAATTCTACTGCTTTTCCCACATCAACAGCATCCAGTTTTCCCTGCAAGTCAGAAAAACATCTAATGCATTTTATATTTTAAGCTGATTAAATACTGCAGCTTCAGCAAAAACAAGGAAAAGATTCTATCCTTGCATAAGCAATAATTTAGGACTTACCAGAAGTGCAAGAGTTGCTGCAGCACAGAAGGAAAACCTTGTATCTATTTCTCCTGGTGAGGGGAGAAGGATGGAAAGGGTAGAAGCAATGAAATGCACATTATTTTTTTAAATAACAACTATATACACAAACAACTACTGAAAGTGTGGAACAAAATGTTAAATTGCTAGGCTTTATATTAAAATCTCTATATATGGCCTCAACACTGTTTCTCCTTTCTGCTGTGGATTATATCCTCAATAACTAAAAGGGCCCATGGAACAACTCAAGTGATCTGTACATTTAYAGCTGGTAACTCATCACCAACTTGTCTTTAGTCAGATACATGTCTAAATTGATTAAATAAGTGCTGATTTACAAGTAGCTATTTCATTTTAAAAATTATATGTAGTGCCCTACAGGACAGCAGTACAGTACTGGATTGTCAATAATAACAAAAAAAAAAAAAAATACTGAGATGTAACTCTCTACCCTCCTGAAATACTTAAGATTCTCCCTGATAGCTGACCAGAAGTAGAAATCATTTTTGGTTTTAAAGAAAAATTATTGGACTGGCAAGTGCTTTCTTGAATAGCTATACCTCAATGGTAAACAAACAAGCAAAAAAATGAAGTAGAACTGTTCAGCATATCCATATGCATATCTGATATACCTCTTTTAATACAATCTTTAAGTAATTAATACTTGAAGTTAACACTTAGAAGTTGCAACAAGCCACAAATGTTGAACCAGTGCCTTAAAACTGATGCAACTTTTCTGCTCAAGAAATCCACAAACACATCAGGTAAAATAAGCAAGCACTAATCTTCTGCCCTTGAAGTCTGCGCCCTTCAGGGCGTACACGGTTTTTTCAGTTGTGCTGCATCTGCATGTCAAAAATAACACTCATCTACTGCACTTTCAGCAAGTTTGTTCCAATACTCAAACACAACGAATGTAGCAAATTCTGAATGCTTAAGAGCTCCCGTCATTTTAAGACACAGCTAAACAGTCAGCTTATAGTACCCTATATGTACTACCATGATCTTGACTATCAGAACAAGAACATGGGTGATAAGGAATAGGTGTTATTGCAACTTAAGGATTTAATGTCAATGGATATTTTTGAGTGACTAAATACATGTACTACCACTTGAAAATACTGTCTCTGTTCAGAAATAATTAATTCATGTGCAAAACTGGGAAAAAAAAAAACAAAAAAAATAAGTATTAACAGAACTTCACGAATATAAGAAGTTTTTTATTTTACCTTTTTACTTTACTTACCCAAGTAAAGATCTTTTGCATAGCCTACACTGATAAAAAACATAGCTGCAAGCAATAAATACACCTTTATTGGTACCTTGAAGTACCATCAATTAAAAGCACCAGAGGGCTTTGTTCTTTCAGATGGTTTATTTTCAAGGCAAGAAATGAAGTCTAAAATCATTTAGAAAGCAATGAAATATAACTCTGTCCTTCACAGTACCTCCTTTTTATATAATTCAGAAATAGAGTGTTTGAATACACTTCAGAAACAAAATGGCCACACAAGAAAACTTCAGTTCATAGACTTACACGTCAGCTTAGATTTTAAAGATCTAAAAATTACCCCATTTGTCTCCAGCAAATGATCCATCTTCATTTTGCAAGCTCTGTATGTATTCAACAATTTTATTGACATCAACAACATGGAGACTATYATACAAGGTAAGAATCTGCAGAAGAAGCCACAGTAACAAATAATAAGTTGCAATAAAAACAGAAATTTGGATTTACAGAAGGCTTCGTTTAACTGTGATTACTATTTGATAAGATTTATTAAAATCAAATGCATTACAGCTCATCACCATTACTATTATTATTATTACTAGTATTAAGAAATTTTCAAAGAAAAATACATACAATTTAAGTTGAACACCTCACTGAACATTATAGTGCCCATATTGGGAAAAAGTAACAACCATGACTTTGAAAACACAGAGTTGGACTCTTTCAGCTGCAAAATTTTAAGTCTTGGGGAAGACCAAGAAGAGTATCTGAACACACTACAGTTTGTTGTTCTTACAGGAGAATGTGATGAGACTCATTAAATATCCTGTATTTGCAGATAGGACTTCAAAAAGTATTTGTGAATTAAAAATGTGCACGCTGGTTAAGACATGCTGGTTAAGTTCAAGACAAGAAAAGTCACATCTGCATTTGCTGATAGCTTTCCATTTTGAACATCTAGCACTGTAATCACTTAACATGGATAAAGCTCCTAGTAACAACAAGTATAGACCTAAGAACTGTACTACTCTAATAACCGAGAACATCAAACTATACCCCTTTCTCTTTATTAAATTTTCCACTAATTGTTTTGAACAATTCTAATTTGCTAAAGGAATCTGGCTGTATAATTTGCAAAGCTCAAAGGTAACTGCCTAGAGGGATTTAATTTTTCTGGGTCTCAGAGTAATTCTAGAGCTAAAGTAGTGATAAACATCAACTTTAGATCAGATAATACATGCCAACACCCATCACTGACCCAAGAAAACCTCACTCTATCCTACCAAATCCCCAATGCTTACTTCCTGAAACAGGATAGAATCACTTGTAACACCATTTAAATATTTCTTTCCTAAAATGGGATTAGAAATAAATCAAGACAAATCAAGCAATTATTTTGAAAGCAGTATGCCCTTGAGTATTGCTTTCCACTGCTCCTCCACTGCTTTATGTTTTGCATAAAAACTTAAAWGAAGAAATTAAAGAAGAATATAAGATGTTGAAAAAGGTAAGAAATTTAAACTGAGCAAATTATGGGGGAAAAATAAAGTCAGGAATATATTCATTTTCTCCAGGGAAGAATATACACCAAAATAAATAAATATACCAAAATATTACTAAAAGAGAAAGGAAAAAAGTTATTTGAGGAAAACAACATAAAACTCAAATGTGACATTTCTTTTGTCTAATATTAAAGTATAAATACATTATTTATATATAAAATGTGAAGGAATATAAATCTCGTGTGTGTGTGTGTGTGTGTGTGTGTGTGTGTGTGTGTGCAAAAGAAATTTTTCTTCTTGTTCTGGACATACAGATCTTCCAGCTCAGTGTATCCTAAGAAGAAACTGTAAAATCCGAAAGTAATTTTCTAGAAACTACCCAAAAAACATGTAGCTAAGAAATATTTCAAGACTTCTAGATAATTTAACAAATATGCAAAGCTATCAATAAGCGAACATTAAAAGCACAAATTCCCACATTTTACTTTTTTTAGAAAATGATACAGCTAAATTTTAAAGCTCTGCTCATTAGGTTTTAATATAACAAACCAAAATTATTTTGCCTTTACCATCTAATAATTTAAGCACCTGGCTTGTTCATCTGCACTCAAATCATTTATTACAAATGGCTGTTTCCACAATTATCCCGTTCCATCTACCTGAACAGCACTGAGCGTATACAGAAGATGAGGATCATGCCCTATGCTGGCACCTATTCCACCACATTCATGTTGACATGATTTGATGAACTCCAGAATTTCTTCTTTGTTCATTCGATGCAGCTCTCCCATGAGATCCATGGCTGTCAGCCCCCAGTAGACACCGCTCATCCTCAAATACTCCGACATACAGTACTCCTAAGCAGTACAAGTTTAGTTCTTAATCAGATAAGCACATCACCAAGTTAGAACAATAAAAATATATTACTTAACATCTATAACAGTCTGTAACAGACCAAGTATCTTCCACTGAGTTAACAAAACGTTTAACCACTTAAGTTACACTCCATGAATATATGTATAGAAACATACACATATTTCTACAGATGTATTTCTACACAGTGCATTTCTTTCCTCTCTTGTATTTTTCAGTTTAAAAGAATCCAGCTCAATATCAAGTGAAACACATGCAAGCAGTAAGCCGCTAACTCAGATCAGATCATCAGTTATCTTGGCTCCCAAACTTCTACTCAACTGCCTTCTCAACAAGTCTCAAAAAACAATAGTTGACACTTAACGAATGCTACTGCTGTCAAAGGAAATAATTTTCCTACATATTTTTCTCTATATATCAATATTGTGTGTGTGTGCATACTTGTGCCTGCTTATACACGTGTGTATCTGTGTATATACATATAGYTCACATCAGCTGAACTACCTGAAAAAGTACTACTTGCTTCACAGAGTGCTTACACCTTGCATGCTCAAAATAGCAGAAGAACAATCCTATGCAGAAATACTTGAATTAACTTGTGGCCAATAACAATAACTGCAACAAATCTTCCTTGCAGAGGAATTGCAGCTATGGACATTTTTCACCTGCTGAAGCCAATATCCAACTGTGATTGACCACGCTGATAACAGGGTCCAGCTGCAATGTTTAACAGAGCCCAGTAAGCAGCAGTGTGGAGGCAGCACAGCCAACAGCAGCCAGGGAGCCACATGTGCACAAATCTCTACTCCCGTGCACCCTAGTGGATGAAGAGCCAAAGAGCAGCTCGCTCCCCAGGTCTCAGAGTAATTCTAGAGCTAAAGTGACAATCTTCAAACTTGTGCTCAGATAATACATGCCAAACTCATCACCGACCTGGCAAAGGGTCACCTTCCTTAAGGATTTCAAGGAGTGTAGGCAGGAAGGAATTCACGGGCCACAATCTACCGGRCCATAACTCTACCAAGTGCCAGGACAATGATTATTACTACAGGTAAACCCGAACCGATGCTCACGTAATCGTCCTTCTTGGTTCCGTAGGCAGCTATGTAGTCCGCGTGCTTCTCCAGTAAGAGTGTGCTTGGGGCATCCGGCTTTATCACAACGTCCTTCTGTGGTGTCCCCTAGAAAGAAACCCCACAGGGCCTCACGTTTTTGTGAAATCGCGGGGTTTTATAGTGCCCGGGATTAATTCGCTGGCAGAACAAAATGCCCCGCGAGGCGGCGGCCGCGTGACCGGAAGGCGCCATCCGCGCGCCTCGCGCAGGGCCCCGCCGCAGGGCCGCCGCAGCCCCGCGCCCCCGCCCGCAGGGCCCCGCCACCCGGCCTAGCCCTGTCCAGCCCCGCCGGGGGAGAGGCGGCRCCCCTAGCTCCGCAGCCTCCAGAGCCGGGGCGCCCGCGCCATTTCCAACGGCCACTCGTCCCTCCAGCCCGGCGAGCTGCGCAGCCCGACCTAGGCGGGAGCCYGTGCGCCTCCAGGGCGGAGCGGTCGCGGAAAGCCGCTCCAGGCCGGCCCAGGCCGCCCCGCCGAGTGCAGCCACCACGCACCATGGCTGCCGTCCGCACCGGAAAGATGACGGAGCGCCGGGGCGGGGCCACAAGTAGCGCCCGGTAGGCCCCGCTGGGGCTGCCCACGCGCCGCCCGAGCGCGCCCCAGCACTGGCCCCAGCACCGGGCCCTGCCTGGCCCCCTCCTCTGCCCGAGTGCTGCCCCTGCTCATCGCCGGCGTGAGCAAAGCGGCGCCGCCGCCGTGCCCGAGACCGGCTCCTCCGCGGGCAGCCCCGCGAGAGGACCCGCGGGCCCGGCGGCGTCGCGCCCGGCGCAGCCTGAGGGAGGCGCGAGCGGCGGCCCCGGCCCCGGCCCCGTGTGAGGGAGGCGGGGCGCGGCGGCCCCGGCCCCGTGTGAGGGAGGCGGGGCGCGGCGGCCCCGGCCCCGTGTGAGGGAGGCGGGGCGCGGCGGCCCCTCGGGACGCGGGAGGGGCCTGCTACCGCAGCGCGCGGCCTTGCCCCGCTGCCGGCCGCCGTTACCGCCTCCCACGGCCACCTCAGTTGTGAGGCAGCGCAGCCCAGCTGCAGAGCAGGCAGGAGCCATCCCCCGCCTTCCAGAACGGCCTTTGTCCCTGCTCAAAACTGACGGCCGTGCTGTTAATCATCGGCATCTACGTCTTACGCAAGTGGGGGACAGAAACCTATGGGGCTGAAGCTCGATTTTTACCACCAACAGCGCTGATTTCCAGAGTGGCCAAAAATGACATCTTCATTTGAAATCCCTGCCTAGGATGTTTCATACCTGATCTGTCTGCAGGTAAATAAAATGGTAATCTACGTCGTTAAAGGTTTGTTGAAAGAATTGTGTTATTGAACAACACACTAATTTCCCAGATGGCTTATCTAAGAATGAGGCAATGCAAAACTTACAGCTGGTAACACTGTGCCATCCTGGACTGAATTAAGGTTATGGATGAATGAGAGAGAGCACAGGACATTTGAAGCAAGGACATTTTGGTTGTTCAGTTGGAAAAGATTCAGCTCCTCTTTTAAATTAATATGCCAAGTTCCAACAGCAGTTTCTGGTATAGGCAGTACCCTAGCAGGAACTGCAGTTCCTACTTCTAAGTGTTACTGGTTAACTATTAACACAATTCAGATATTTAACTTAACCTGAGATACAACTGAAATGATGTCACAAGCAAAATGAATAAAAATACATCTTTCTGTTTGAAAACATGATTTTTTATTAGACTTCAGCAGTGATTGCCAGAAATAACTCTTGAGCACTGAATTTCAAAGTGGAAAAACAGTTAGGATATTCTCAATTTTTGCCCTTTTCACATTAGAATTTTAGAGGTAATAGCCAAGTTCAGAACAGAGTTGTTATATTTGAATATATGGCATAGTTTCCAAAGGTTATTTTACATGAACTCARCTACAATTAAAATATTTGAAACCGAATGACAGTATTTTTTTCCTAACAAAAGTATGTTTTTCTCAAAATACTGTGATGTGTCCTTAGCATTCATCCACAAAGGCACGATTTTTAAGGCACAAGAAAATAAGCATCTTATTTATAAATACAATGGATTTCTCTGAGGCACAGAGATAAAAGCACCAAATAAAAATTTCTGTCAGTGATGGACTCAAGTGAGTAAATAGCAAGGTCTCACTGAAAAGAAGCCTTGTTATTGTTAAAAAGTATCTTTTGTTTATACTGATTCATGGAGGCATATAATATGCAATCTTCTCTTTCAGAAAAATAACAATGATCTTCCTTGAGCTTTAGAGGAACATAAATTTGTTTTCAAATGGTCCAGAAGTTAAGCTGTATTCATAGTGAAATTTAAGAGAGTAGTTTCTAAATCCTACTAAATGACTGTGTTAGCATATTCATAATTATAGGACATGATGACCTGGATGCAATATACTGCAATATATGATCCTTGAAAGAATCAGAATAGCTTTTTAAAGTAATTGTGTCCCTGAGATTTGTTAAATTGATACACACCTAAACTCCAATGATAAAGCTATAGTTTATCTCAGTAGGAGCAAATCTGTATCATTACAAATAATACAGAAGTTCTTAAAGTTAAATTACTTGTTATAGGTAGAATAGCTTCACGGACAATAAAAATATTTCTGAATTCCATTCATTTTTTTAATGTACATTTTACAAAGAAGGTTTTACCTCTTCCCCCACTGCAAGCCAAAGACTTGAATGAAAAATCCCAAGTGGGTGAAGACGAGACAAACAATCACTTTATTTCAGACATGCTTGGAAAACACCAGCGTTGTTAGAAATGGAGTGAGGAAGTGGTAGGTACTAAAATAATGCTTAGTACTGTCCAGAATAATAAAATTTTGAAGGGAAAAGTTTTTTTTCCCCACACCTTTTTAATTATACTGACAAAGGCATTAACATCCTCATCTTCTGAGAGCACGGAATGGAACAGCAGCGCCAGACACACTGGATACCTTTCTTTTAAACCATAAATTTGCTAACATGTTCACGAGCTATGACGATCCTTTGAATCTGAGCAGTTCCCTCATAAATCTGCAATGTAGAATGGCAATATTGTTACCTATGACCTTACAGATCATGGTCCACATGCATTTCTTGGTAACTGTTTTGTTAGATTTTACTTAGTTACTTTTAAATGTCAGAAAGAGCTAAGAGAAAAGGTCAAAAGTTACTGGTTCTGCTAAACATAAAGTTTGTTGAATAAAGAATTAAAATACTATATTAAAAAATTGTAATATGAAACAATGCCTTGGCAATAATAATACAGATAAATATCTGGGGATTATGYGAGCTAAACATGAGTAGTAAATAAGAACTTTAGTTTATTCTGGAAGACTCTGCTAAGAGGAATGTGAGAAGAACATAAGCCATAGAAATTACCAAGGGCATTTTTTCTTTTCCCCTGTATACTTTTCTTTGTCATATACAGCTGTATGTAATTTGCAATGGCCATTACTTGGACAAGATTCTGGGGTGGGGGAAAAGCTTAGCTATACTCAAGCAATACTCTGTGCGACACAGAGCCGAGCCGAGCATTTCCACTGCTGAACATTCTTAGGAGCAGCACTACACACAAACCATCTCTGGCACCTTGTTTGTCTGTGTTACGCCAAAGCAAGCATTGGCATTTGGACAAATGTTTTCTACGCCTCTTTTTCTAAGAGTTTTGAAATGAATAGTCTAAGAATTTGAAAGATTTGCACTGCAGAAAGAAAGCATTACATTTTTTCTTTATATTTGCAGCTTTTGAAGTTATTAATCTAGTGCAAATACTTTTGTATGCAAGCGTTTGTCTGACTTTAATACCTCTTTTAATATGATTTAAATAAGAGGCCATTAGCTTATTTTATGAACAATTTATGTATTATGTTAAATATCACATTCTTTTTTTCACTTACCTGGTAAATTTTAGCATCTCTCATTAGCTTTTCTACAGGATATTCAGTATTAAATCCGTTTCCTCCAAAAATCTGTACTGCATCTGCAGCTACTTGGTTTGCAATGTCACCTGCAAATGCCTTTGCAATGGATGCATAGTAGGTATTCTTGTGACCAACATCAACTTCCCATGCAGCTCTTTGGTAAGCCATCCGAGCTAGTTCCACTTTCATTGCCATTTCAGCAAGCATAAAAGACACTGCTTGGTGCTGCGAATGATGAAATGAACCAGGTTAACACTGCCTGCTTAAAATCTATGACAATTCAAAAGAAATAAAGCTTTCTTAATATACTGATCACATCAACATCATCAACGAATTCTGCTTGAGGACTCTTGCAGAATATAGACCAGGCTGTCATATCTGTATGTTGAATTAGACTTTAAAGTTTTAGATTCTAAAATCTATTTAGTCACAAAGACTGAGATTTAAATTACAAAGTTGAGCTTTACTATTTTTGAGGTCTAGATTATAGCTTAATATTTGTTCATATTCCTTCAAAATTGGAAGCAACGTATTGGTATTAATCTTGTGCATCTCTCACATACTTCAAACAGAAAGATGGGATCAGCCTTTGCTTTGCTGAAAATTCCTGAAAATCAACCCCGAAGAACCTAAATAGGTTATGACAGTATATGACTTCCATTGTGAGGAGAGGAGAGGGTGCCTATCTTTAAGATACTATCAACATCATCCTCATCATTAAATTTTAAAGAATACTGGAGTTACTGCATTGTTTGCTGCATTTATATGATGCCTACTTAGATATTTGAAAACCCAGTCAATGGCAGAGATAAAATAGTTCACACATGTCCTCGGAATCAGTGAACAACCTTGAAAATTCAACAGCAGTATACCTTGTGTGAAAACATAGCTCTTCCTATATATGCATGTATATTTAACTTACTTCAACAATTGCTTTTCCAAAGGTTTTTCTTTCCAGAGCGTATTTAGTAGCTTCATCCAGTGCTCTTTGTGATAAACCAACAGCACCAGCTGCTACCTAAATTAAGCGTAACAAAGAGTAAAAATCAGAAATTGCTATTGCATTTTGCAAGCAAGATATTTCTGATACTTACAGGAGGCCTGGTCTTATCAAAAGCTTCCATTGCAATTTTAAAACCAGCTCCCTCAGCTAGTAATACATTTTCCTTTGGGACTCTCACATCTTCAAAGACAATACCTCTGGTATCCGAGCACCGCTGACCCATATTAATCTCCTGAAAAGGGAGTTTACAGAAGTGAAACTAAACTGGATTCTTTCAAGGTACAACCTATTTTCATAATTCAGTTTACTCAAAGCATAAGGTAAGCATTTTTCCTGAAACACTTCTGTTTCTAGGTGGAAACCATAAAAACTATATACATGACAAATATATTTTTTGCATTTTACAGACCCACATGCCTTTAAAATTTGTGGTGAGCCGTTAACTTTGTTTTTATATGAAGTAGCTGTAATCACTCTTGTTATTTTTCTCTATTTCAATTATATCCTTTGAGATAGGAGAGAAAAAAGTGAGGAACCTAAAACAGGCAGTAGTGAAATATTATGTTATAGGTAGATAAATAAATCAGCAGATAAATAAATAAATGTCAGCTTTTGTCAGCTGCTAAAAGTTGTCATATTTTGAGAGAACTAACAATAGTGTCTCCAAGGCCTCTTCCTTAAGCAGCAGTAACTAAAATGCTCACTGTGCATTTATTTACAGTTGAAGTTGTCTGCCTTGCTTCTCATCTTCACAAGGCACACGATTTTTCATTTATCGGCACCAGGCAATAAAGTGGTTCTCAAAGATTCTTTTGCAGCTGTTCAAAGTCATCATTAGGATACTCTAAATACTACTTTCTGAATAACAAAATTAGTTCTAATTAGAAGTATGCTTTATGAATAGTTTCTGTTTTGAAAACAAAAATATCATTACATTTGATCACATTTAAATGTTCTGTTGCATAATAGTCTTTTTTTCTTTATTGGGAATTTATTGCATTATTGTTTTAGAAGCGAGTAATAAATCTGGTCTGTCAAATAAAAGATACACTCTTCACCTTTCTTCCAATTTGGATTCCAGGGCTATCTGCTTCTACAATGAATCCAGTAAAGGCTTTGCTCACAGGAGTTTTTGGGTCTGGACTGGTACGAGCTAGCAAAAAATACCTAGTGTAAAACAAAGAAGAGAACCTCAGTTTGCACAATTCACAATCAGATACTTTTCAACTATCAGGTTAAATGTTTCAGTGTGCTTTTCCAGCATATGCTAATTTCCATCGAAAAGTAAACAACTCTTCTTGTCCCTTCCGGAAATAAACTGAGAGGGAGCATAGGAGAGTAAGTTTCAGTACAGATCTTACTGCAAAATTCAAATTCTCATAAAATTACTTCAGAGCAACACACAAAGATTGTCCATTTTGTCCTTGTAACCATTATATAAGTCTTTACAGTACTACCAACTTTAGGAATTAGTACAGAAAAAAAAACTATTAGATGAATTCCCAGCATATACATAAAAATAAAAAATGCTTAGGAAATACATTCTGCTGTGCAAAATTTAGGTTATCACCTAATCCCAAAGAAGATCTTAATTTTATTCTTCTAATGCAAGTTGTAAAGAAGTAATTCTGTTAGAAACTAAACAGTAGTAAATCACAGTTTTGGTTTTCAKTGATGTCAAAAGACACGCTAGATTCTCTTTTGTCATTTGGCACTGAGCGAGAAAGTGAATAACCAGAAAATGCAGATTTATGGATACAATATTTACAGTAAAGTTCTTGCACTTGAATTAAAACAAACTTATACAGTGGAGATGAACATGATATCATGTGAGACACTATGAAAGAGGTCTCTAAAGTTCACTCCACAGATGCTACAGTAGCATCTGGATTCTTCGATGGTTAGAAAATGACTTGCCTTAAAAAATTAAAATGTAGCACAACTGAACAGTGCTTCTAGCTTCACTAGAAATGACAGGTGTTTCTAGCAGAATCGTAAGGAACTGATCTCATACCTACAAAGCAACATAACTTGTAATATGAGCCTCTTGGGGTGCTTTGTGACTTAAATCATTCTATTCCTGTCTTCCAGTGAAGAAAAGGCAGAATTATTTTTATTTGATAGCAACAATACTTGAGAAGCATTTTTGAATGGACTGTTGTCATCTGTCAGTTTCCTTTTTAGGCTTTGTACAGCACAGAGACTGTAACCTTATACCTTGTCCTAAACTAGTCAGAGATTACAGTGTAATGGGATAAAATACAATGAACCTCCAGATTTTTTAACAGAGATATCTAAAGAAACTTGGATATTTAACTTCTGGGGAAARAATAAACAATACAGAACAGAATAGCAGAACACATAACATGAGTTAACAGCTCACAGACCAGTTAGCTTTTCCACCATTTGTGATCCACATCTTCTGGCCATTAATAACATATTCATCTCCTTTTTTCTCAGCCTTTGTTTTTATACCAGCCACATCTGAGCCTGCTATGGGCTCTGTTACACAGTAGGCCTAGAAGAAAATAAAATGCAAAATTTTGAATAAAGTAGAAGCTACATGTTTTGGTCACCATATATTTTTATAGATGACATGCACAAAACCAATCTGAAAAAGTTTTAAAAGAACTGCGTGGTAAAATGGCACAAAACTTTGCAAGTATGTTATAAAGATGCTATTAAAAAAAAGGCAAAAAAAAAAAAGTTTGATAGGTTTAAAATGAATTGCTGTGTAATACTGAGCAGTATGAAAAGAAGGCCTATATTTTTTCAAGTAACATTAAAGTATCGAATGACATGTATAGCTACAACATTTTTTTTAACTTTAATATTATCTTTGTATTTTTACCATCTTATAAGTCTTTAAGAACATTTTAAACATTTAAAAACATTTGTAAAATAGATTGTTGTTGGCACGAGGCCCAAGATGTTCACAGAAAAGGAAACAGGAAAAAGGAAATAATGCAACTGCACTTTCAAGCGGCTAATTTAAACCCATTCCAAGCTAAAAGATACTTGAAGCCTCCATTCCGGCATCCACTTACACAAAGMCAGTGATTTTCCTCAGGACTGGAGAGACTTAGCGGCCTGTTAGCTTGGGATGGATTGTCCTTTGACCTTACTGCAAGTTAGGCATACTTGCCTTTCTGCAGTTGTCAGAAACTGGCGGCTTTCGTTAGGAATACTGCTAGTAATTGGCAGAATAAGACCTGCATGTAAGTTTGACTTTTGCCTTCTACATATACTGTACCAATTCTAGATACTAGAAGAGAGTTGTTTCACATTGTCTACACATCCACTTTAACAAACATAACTGTATATAAACAATAGAAAAATACTGGTAGAATGACAATGGGATAACTGGACACCAGAATGCAAGACACCTTTCTGTGACCCTTACTAAATCTTCATGTTTCACAAACTCATTTGTGAAAGCTGTCTCTCTAAAATCYGGAAATAAAAGCACAGAGTAACATTTTAGGTTTATAGTGTTCTTCCTAAATGGCATTTTATGGGGCTTAGATGTTCAGATCTTAATGCACTGGACACAAACTTTTCTTGTATGTAACAAATTGTGCTTGTATAATGATTAAGATTCAGGAATAGATTTTAATTTCCATTAGAGTTTCTGCTTACATAAACCTAATATTTTCCTAATCTTCTACTTCTCTTGTGACTGGATATCAATGTTTTCTACAAAAATAAACATCATTTAGTGCAGTTTAAGAACATTCCACAATGTAGCAATCATACTCACACACATCAATGGTTGCTCTGTCAGTCTTCCTAAATATTTTTTCTTTTGTTGATCATTTCCTGCAATGATTAGTGGCATTTGCTGAAAGAAAATATTTATACCATTAGTTTGTCTTTCTAAAACACACAAACGCAATGAGGATAAGAAAGGATGGCGCTCACCCCGAGGGAATTTGCCTCAATGGCAGTTTGGACTCCTGTACATCCATAAGCTATCTCTTCTGTAACAAGGCATGTTTCAAAGCTGCCAAGGCCAAGACCACCTAGATTTGAAATATTTCATTGGCTAAAATGAGCTCAAAGGGGAACATATTAAATGATTTACACAGATTCATTATCAAAATCTTTCTTCCCCAAACATTTAACTGCATACTCTGTTTGATCAGATAGTCCCATGTAAGCTTTTCAAATAGAGTTTTGTCAGAATGGCAACAGATTATTTTAAAGTTACACTTCATAGTCCAGGGTTACTGCACGATTACGTAGGACAAGCTGCACAGATGGCAAGAACGTACCACTAGAATTTTTTGACTGGTTGACATTTGAGAATTTSCCTAAGAGATCTGAAGGAACAGACACAAGGCCATAAGGGAACCTAAGCTCCAGCAGCACTTTGGAATTAAAAAAAAAAAATACAAACCAGCCAGTCACACTTGTTTCTGTCAAGGGCCAACACTTTAGGAAGAACATAGAAAGTGAATTGTCCAGTAATGCTTCTTCAGAGTATTTTCTCCACCCTTCAAAGCACCTCCTCAATCAGGACCAGTAGCCACATTCGAAAAACCCTTGACAGGTTTTTTTTTCCCCCTTAGGTTCAAAAAGAGACTGACCAAATGAACATAGGTAAAATTTTAACATCAACATTATCTAGTGGCAATGACTTTCACAAATTAGCTGTATTTTGTGTAAAATCATCTCCTTTCAATTTTTTTTCTGAAACTGCAGTTCAGACTGGATCATTTTATCTATGAAGCTAGGATTTATTCTTCCCCTTCTCATATGTATCACTTTTATTACTTTGAATTTCATCTGCCATTTTAACACTGTTTCACGACCTCCTTCAATTCTTCATACCAGCTCATCTTTACTACACCGAATAACTATTATCAGTAAACTCAATCACCTCACTATTGACCTGCCTTTTCAGATTATTTATAGATATCGCAAATAGCACAATACCCAGCAAGACTAGGCTGAGGATTCTTCCCCTGCAAAAACATGGCTTTCCAAATACTTTCTGCAAGTTGAAACGTTCTGTAAGAAACCCACATTCCTTGTTCACACACTTACTAGCCACCTCAGAGAACTGCCATTGCTTTTGAGGCACTGCTTCCTTATACAAAAACCYTTTACCAGAGTATAGTTTTTATCTGTGTCCTCYGATTATGTACTTTGTTTTACTTGTTCTTAATTTGCATGGTATGGTATCAGACTCACTGGAATGTATTTTCCAATATTTTCATTGAAGRCATTTTTAGGTAGTGGTGTCTGATTTGCCACGTGTATTTTCATTTAAGTGATTATGCACCACAATTGCCCAGCTCTTTCAGCCTTGAGTTTCTCTAGAATCTGTGGGTAAATAAAGGTGATCTTCACTTTTTTCTCTTTGTTCCTTAACGTTTTGTGTTAACTTCTTGATAAGAGACACACCTCTGATAAGTCTCCCCAAAGAAGGGTCTGCTATGGATACTTCCTCCCCATTTTTTTTCCCATGGTGAGTATGAGGCATATACCTAAGCATGGCCAAAGCACTTCYGTACTCCATATAATCTTAAAATGGACAACTGTCCTCTTAGTATAAACTCTTGAATTTTCTAATCTATGTCAGAGACTAGATCAAAATTTGACCTTCTAATTACTCTGCCTAATCAATTGACACAAGTACATCACAAGAACATTAGCAAGTTGTAATCATGGTAGAGAATCTCTTCATAAATCATGATCTGTCTAATCTGTATCCTGATTACATCCACACCTAATAACCCTTTATGTGTCAACCTACTTTACTGACTAAATTTAGTTTGAGTATGCAACTGTTTACTTTATTCAGAATCCATCATTATACATGCAAATCTGTCTTATATTCTTTGTTTATAGATTAAAGAGAACATTTACTTACCACAGCTTTCTGGGATGTGTAAATTAATGAGACCAAGTTCCCAAGCCCGTTTTATGAGYGGAAAAGGATACTGCAATATAAGGGGAAAAATCACCTTCTCATTTATCTCAGTTACCATTTAAGTTTCTGTGCTCGTTAAGATAATGTATCCGTTCTCCCCCTACAGTGTGGTAGGTTTACCTCGCCGGTTTTGTCATACTCTGCTGCGACAGGAATAACTTCCTCCCTAGCAAACTTACGAGCAGTAGCTTGAAACTCTTTCTGTTCATCAGAGAGCGCTAAAAAGAAAGAAAAAGGCACAAATTCTCTATTATCTTTCATTTTGCCAGTTGTAAGAACTAAAAGAAAAGGGAGAATACAAGCCTCACTTCCTACAAGGACAATCCAAACCACTACTTCCTCAGCCTCTCCAAGAAGCAACAGAACTCAGCTATATCCTCRGAGAAAACTTCCATCAGCACCTATAATGCACTTAACTTGGTCAGAAGTAACTATCTGCAATATACTGAAAATGGAGTAGAATGAATGATGTAATTTAAAACAAAAATGTATTACAAAAAGAAGGAAGAAGAATGCTGTGGATGGAGGAAGAGGAGGCAGATGTTACTTCCTTATTCTAAGATTCTCACTATTCAGTGTGCAATATCTAGGTGCTGTCTGAACTAAATGTGCTTTGCACATATTATATACCAAGAATGGGATGAATTTCTCTATGAAAGACTGCATAGGTTCACAAGCCCCAAAACTGAGAGTGAAAATATTAGAATACTTCACTGTTAGAGGGAAGTTCTTTAACCCTCTTCAAGTAAGACTACATAGTTACTTTAACATCTTACAGAGCAATGTGAGTTAATTATTCAAAGCGAAMTTCAGCAGTAAAAATAGTTAAAAACAAAAGAAGAACATCCTACAAATATTAAGACATACTTCCCAGATTTGGAAGAAAAAGTAGTTTGCTTTTTCAAACTTCTTAAATGAACAAAAACTTGTTTAGAATGAACTAATTTAGTTCCGTTCTAAATTCATACTGAACTGCAATACAGTTATTTTTTCTGATTGTGCAATTTGTCATTAACTGTTATATTACKTTCAATAACTATGATATTTACCAAAGCTAAAGCCAGCTCCAGGTTTGCCTTTGTGTAAATTTTGAGCACATACAGTCGAATACGCTCTCCATCCACGCCCTGCAATGGCTTGAAGCATCTGTTGAAGACAAAGAACATGAGACGTAAAGACCTTCAGAACTCAAGTCAACCAAAGCTACCACAAAAAATGCAGATTTTCTTCAGAAACAGTACCATGTTAAGTATTTATACACTACCTACAATTGATTAGTAATAGGAATAATAATAGTAAAAGATTATAGGCTTAGTTAAGCTTTCTAAGTAGTGCTCAAGCAAACCAACATGGAATCTCAGGCTTTAACAGGAGGCAAGGCATGTGTAAAGTGCTGTACCCACATCGATCATTTAAAAGTAATTAAGCATAATTACAATGCATATACAGAGCATATTAAGTTTATTTTTCTTCCTTATATTGATCACAGATTTGTTCTCTTTTTCACTGCATGTGCTTACTTGGCCCTTTTTAGGGGCTTAGCATGCACATTCACTGTTGTAACTACTTGTAAAATGACTTAATACTGTGCAAAAGCTAGCACCAAGTTTCTGCTCAAAAATTATGTCTGAATTTGATTTGAAAAGGTTGTTTTATTCCCTTTCTCTCTTTAAGAGCTATCAATCTCTGAAATACTTGGCAAAGCAGGATTGCAGTTCGTGCCCTGTGGGAATTGAGGTGATCCTCGTCTGCTCTGTCAGCATCCCTGAAGCGTTTGATTCAGGTGGAGCAGCTAGATTCACTGATAAGCTACCGTAGCGATGCTCAAATGTGACAGTATTACCTGCCTGCTTGACTGCTGCATGAGCTCTGTGACTAGAGAAATATCACCCGCCGCCAAGGAGCAGACAGGACAAGAACGGGCATGGACATGAATTAGTCCCAACYACCTCAGTACTGGCTCAAAAAGCTGTACCTCACAGAAAACGGCAGCCCGACAATAAGCTACGGTCACTAACCCAACTGTGAAAACCCTTCCTGAAAAGAGCTGCTTCACAGCAGAACTGAAGCAGAGCTGCTTCACTGAACTGGCTGCAATGCATTAGGAGCTGGAAACTGACCTGGAAACATCGTGTCCTCTGGGATACATTAACTGCCCCTGGCTCCGCCGCCTAAAACACTCTTTGGTCTCCAAAATGACCTCCCCAAGGGCCCTGGAGGGACGGCCGGCCAGACCACGGTACCGCCAGGAGCGACAAATTCCTCCTTTGACCCACAAAGGGCTCCAGGAAGGGGGACAGAAAAGGGTCGCTGCAGTCAGAAAACACGGTGCCACACTGAGCTCTGGCTCGGGTTTGTTTTCTAACTTGAAGCTCATTTTTTAATTTAGCTGAGAGCATCAGCGCTTCTGGAAAACATCTTTTATCACCGCGTGCACGAACAGCACGAGCCTGGCGCAGGCCGGCGCGCTCGGGAAATGCACCGCATGAAACATGCATCTTAAGCCCGGCTCCTCCGTTGCCAGAAGCGGGGCCGGGCCGCGCGGCTCGGGCACTGCTCTGGACAGTCCTGCACTGCGCGACCACCTGGTCGAGCTTTCAAGGACGAGGAGCCCTCCAAGCCGCGGAACTCCCGCGAAACTCGCCGGGTTAAAGTCCGGGGSCGCGCCCGGCCGCCCGTCGTCCCCTCACCGTGACCGGCGGCCAAGGGCGGACGGACGCCGCGGCCGGCAACGAGCGCCGCGGGCCGAGACAGGTCGGGGCCGCCGCACGCGCCTCGCGGCCCAGCCTGCTCCGCTCCGCGCCGGTCGGGTCGGATGTGCTCATGTCCGGTCCGGTCCAAGCCGCCCGGCCCGCCCTCCGCCGCTAGGGCGCCTGCCCCTCTGCTTGGTTCGGCTCGCACGCAGTACCGTCCCACCAGGCGCCAGTCGCGCGTCGCGGCGCTGACACCGCCACTCACCCAGGCAGCCCTCAGCACCGACATGTCGGCGCGGCGGCGGCGGGCGCTCCCTGCGGCGCG